CCCCCCCCCTCCCCCCCCCACCCCTCCATATATCTTCCTGTAAAAATATTATTGTGGATGGCTTTTCATTGTTATTGCAACAATAATTGCTTCTGTTGTCACTTGCAGTGGAATACAGCAGCTATTTTATCACAAAGAACAGTACTAGGCAGTGTGAGGTTTATGGTGATGGGGACCTTGGGCACTTGGATGTCGGGGCCATTTGTCCAAGTATAGTAGCTATGCCCGAGTACTTATGGCTTCCTTGACTTGAGTGGTTGCCACGCTAAGGTGGTGGCTTCCCCTCTCTCCTCCTCCTTTCTTTTCTTTTTGGCTCCCTCCTTGTTGGTTTCTCAGGAAGAGAATGTTGGTGGAGTTGTAAAAGCTGGTGGATTGGCTTATCCATTTGGACACTTGCATTAGGCTGTTAAGAACTACCCGAAGGAGTGCCATCTGCATTATCTCATTCTAAGACAACAACATGCAGATCGCAACCACATGAACTGTGTTGTGTGTACTATGAGGACCATTTCTGTATATCTTGTTAACATGGTAACACAAGTTAATCTGCTTCCTCACGCGGCAGAAGGGGGAGTGGAGTTTGAGAAAGATCGAGCATGGGCAGTTTAGGCAGTTCACTTTGTACCTCATATAATTCTTTTGGGAAATTGAGGCAACTCATCATGTGGGTGGAAATCAGTGATCGCGTGGATTTATAGCTCCTTCCTCCTCTCTTTAAGCAGCCCCCTGTCGCCATACCTGATCTGTAGAGAAAAAAAGGGAGAGGGAGACCGAGAGATGGTGTCTAGAGAGCACAAGAGAGCCGCTCTGCATGAGAAGCTGCAAATCCTTCGCTCCCTCACCAACTCTCATGCAGTAATAGTTCTCCTATATTTCTGAAACCCTTTTGTTCTTCTCTTCTCCTCTCATCTTTCTTCCATGTAATCATTACATGTGTCTCTCGGAGTTCCTGAAAGCAGCACACATTCAATCCCTTAACCGTGGATACAATTTTCTCTTTACTGTTTGGCAGCTAAGGAAATCCTCGATCATAGTAGACGCTTCCAAATACATCAAAGAGTTGAAGCATAAGGTGGAAAGATTGAATCAAGAAATCGCATGCACACAGAAACCTGTCGACAAGAGTCCCTTACCTGAGGTAGACACGGTTTGCCGACATGATCTTCATTCATCTTATGTTTTCTTGGGTTAATTACTTCCGACTTTAAGCGGATTGTTGAGGCCGAATGTTTCCACCAATATCTTCACAGGTGACTGTCGAAACCCTAGAGAAAGGCTACCTGATCCATGTGTTCTCAGAGAAGAGCTGCCCGGGACTACTGGTGTCTGTTCTTGAGGTGTTCGAGGACTTGGGCCTCAACGTGCTGGAAGCTAAGGCCTCCTGCACTGACACATTTCGTCTTCAAGCCATTGGAAGAGATGTAAGACAAGGAGACATGATCTACAGATTAGCTTCCTCTACCAAATCATGCTCTATTACGCATACTATGCAATATCGAATAGGTTAAAACGCGTCCAAGTTATTGCATAGGATGCAGACTCTTATAAAAGCATCATAGTCCTAAGATCGATATTTTAGGCTAAAAATTCAACCTGAAACTTGATTCTCAATCTTTTTCATTCGTGATATGCTCATCTGCAAGCACACCCCAATAGTATTTACATGTAGATACAGTACTGATTGTGTTACGCTAGAAATTCATGAGTTCCATATAGTTGACACAGGTGACATTAGCATAAGCATAGATATTACATGCAAAACTATGCAAGATAGATTGCGTGGTAGATATTAATCACCACAAATATAAATGTGTGATCTCTATGCACATAAATGAATCATCCATCGACTGAGAATACATCATTTGAGGGTCATACTCATAGAAGTTGGTCTTAATTTCAAGCTCACCAACTTGCATGAATCAGGGTGAAAGCATGAATGCTGAAGTGGTGAAGGAAGCAGTGGAACGTGCCATCAAGAGTTTCTTCGGTGTTGGTGAATGAACGAGAGTGATGATATGGGAGGAGAACTAATCCTGTGGTGGCAAACCCATCTTTTCGTTCCCTCTTGTATCACATTTTGGAAAGGGCTGCAAAGGCCTTCGATGAAGGTAGAATATTCTGTGTATTACAGCTATGGCTGAACCAATATGAAGAAGGTATGTTGGAATCTATCATATATTTTGAACTCACTGCCATTACCAGTCAAAATTTGCCCATATCTTCTACTGAAAACAAAAAGCTGAAATGACCATGGAATTGCCGGACAAGCCAAAGATAGCCCGATGAACATTTCCTTTATATATATATATATATATATATATATATATATATATATATATATATATATTATGGAAGACATGGCTCCAGTCTTTTTTATTTCTCTACACTGAGATTAGGATGGAGTGAGTGGTTTGTATGATCGTATGGCAGGCACTTAGATGAACAGGAAGGCACAAAAAACAACCTTAAAAGAAAAGAAAAATCATGCATGAAGAAGACTGTTTCCTTTTGATAAGATCAATTATATAGACTGTTAGAAGGAGTAAGTACTGATGTTGGGACGTCAATTCGGAAACACCAATGCATGAATCACGAAATGACAAGGAGATGAGCTGCACTCACTCAGAAGCTGCTGTTTTCGCCCATCTTTAACCTGTTGGAAGGGAGTGCTTCTTGTTGTTCTCATCCTTGTAATAATATTTCCTGCGATGGTGACTGCACACCGGCTGATATGGATCGGTTGACATTAGAAACAAATGATAGTGACTGTTGGAGATCCGTATTGCTTCCATGATGTCGTCAAAGGTATCAGTTCGCCGTAAATTAATGTGGATAAAACATTATTTGACCCAAAACCAAACTAATGGCAACAAAAATGTGAACGGATAAATCTAAAATATGAAAGACCATTTCTACCATATAATATTTGATAAAATTTAAAAAAATAAAAAATATTAAATTATTAGTCTGATAATAATCGATGTTTCTGGTTTTGATTCGAATCATCTATTTTTTTATTTTTAATTTAAAATAATTATATATATATATATATATATATATATATATATATATATATATATATATATATATATATATATATATATATATATATATATTGTGAACCGTAGTTTTGAACCATCGATTCTAGTTCAAGAACGATCAGTTCTAATTCCGATTCTCAAAAATCTAGAACCATAACGAAACCATTCAAATTCGATTCTAATTCGATTTGAAACAGGTGAATCATTATATTGATTTAGTTTTGATTTCAGTCTAATTTGATTTGGGTTAAAATATTGGTTCTATGATAACATGTAAGATCCATGAAAACCTCAACCGATCGATTTACAATGTCGTAATCTCTTTGATGGTCAACAACATTAAATATCAAGACAAAAACTTCATCGCTTGGAAACCCCTCCCCGACTTCTCTCCGGTGAAGGTAGGTGTCTCATCCAGGAGAATGGATCCATCACATCCCTGTAGCCAAATCCCAAACACCCTAACTTGACATCTATTCATCATAAGCGAAAGCGCAGTGCACAGCTTTCTTACGTTGACAAAGTAATCAAAGAAATGTAAAACGTAGTCGAAGCAAAGCCCTGCGCGATTGCATCCCTCACCACCGTTCTAATGGTCGACAGGGCTTTGGGTTGAGCTGTGCTGTTGCTGGGATTGAGGAGACGAGTAATAGGGCATATCCTGGTACCGCCCCCGTGATAATAGTCAGTAGCCATATCAGCACCAACACGGAGCACCAACACGGAGCCTCGTGGCTAATACGGTGCATTGCATCGACATGGCACCTCGGACTCGGATGGGATGACCGTCTGTTCCGGTGCTATCTGAGGCCGTATGAGACAGACGATGACACATATCACAAAGTCGTTTTGGAAAGTTCGGAATGGTGTCGCACAGCGAGGATCCATGCAGGTCGGTCAACGCTCGCATAGGAGATATAAATCGACCGCCCGAGGAGTCGACCCCCATTAACAGATCACGTATGATCGACACTCGTTCGTAGGCATAAAAGTCAACCTCTTGATCGGTGTTAGGGAGAGGACTTCGCATATTCAACTCACTCTTATTCCACTCAACTCTAATTTAAGCTTCAAAGAAATCGAGTCGGGAAATCCCCCTCCTGACCTTGACCTAAGTACAGGGGCTGGCGACGAAGAAGCAGGCGATGAGGCCCACAACTCAATCCGACTTGACGCTTACTTTCGCCACTTGAGTCTTCATATGGGGCAATCTTGCATATCCGGGATCGGACCAAGCTATGCTGACTCATCGACCATGGTGTAAAAGTTACCCGAGCTTGCAAAGGTGAAGCAAAGGGAGGCCATGATGCATGAGGACCATCTATCTAGGTTTCGAGTTGCATGCAGGAAATGGTGCTGACAAGTGCTTATGCAGGCGGCAGATGCTGCTCCTTAACCCATTTTAGATTGTTTGGGTTGGATTGCTAATAAATAGTGTTCTCTAAGTGAGATCGATAACACATCGCATGAAGTGGTCTAACCTACCAATCAATAATTGTTCTTAAAGTTGATCTTGCTGCAGATCAACTGGCTCAATCAAACTCATGTTTATGTGTGTATTACCAATAAGTTACTGACACACCTAATGTTCTAATAATGAATCAGATGCTTCTAAACCCATGCCACAAGTTCATATACTGGTCATTCTTTTGTGAAACATGCGAAAGCTTATTGATAATGACATTACAATAGAAAGAGATGGAGGTGCAGAAGATAAAAGAAAATGCATCAAACCACACACTTCTTTTTGTGTTTTGGGTACACCCAACTCTCTTGTTGTTAAGCTGTTCTTAAGTTATTAGATACGTCAGCAATGATCAGATGTGATCATCATCTGCACACTACATGAAACAAGTAAAACTTGGGCTGATGGCCCGATCAGCCCGGTTTTCATATCCAATTTCTTCTCACATACGAACCGAGGTCTTATAGGAGTCTGAATCACCTCTACCCTTACCGGTGTCTTTTGGGATCTACCTCGAAAACTACACAAGTTCGTTTATCATTGGAACAACAACAATATAACCTTTACAATAATGATAATTCTAGCAAGCCACAAGATCAAGCCATGAGAGATGAAGGCATCGACAGGGGAAGAACAGACATGGCCTTTTCTTCATTAATGCCTGAGGACACCAGCTCCCTTGTCCTGGCCATGGAACAAGTGCTTGTGATTCCTGGAGTGTTTACATAATACCGGGAGAAGTTTTGGAGGGCTGTAATGAAGTAAGCCTCTGCATGCATCGTGTGTTTTTCTCAACTGGATTAGGAATCCCACTACGAATAATTTTAGCTTCACCTTTACCTCTAAAGAAAAGGAAGGTTAACATGGACAACTCTGAAGTATGGTTTGTTTCTTTGTCCTACAGATTAATGAAGCTTGTCTGCTTGCCCTGACTGACCCACATGTCCACTATTCATAATTGAAGAGGTCTTCCAGAGATGGTGGGAAATTGAATGGCAGGGACACCCATTCCTGCTTAAAGCCCTTTACCTTCAGACTCCAAATCTGATGGTGCATTGTCCCACTCATCCACTCCAGGCTGCACCAAATCAAAGCTGGTGGAATTCAATGACTTCTATTTTCCAGTCACTTGGCTGGAACAGTGGTGGAAAGGATTAGCAGATGAGCGCTTGCTAAGGTGATGGCTGATGCATGTTATAAGCCAGATGTAGCTTAGTGCTTTCTTGGACTGGCAAAAGCCACGTATTGGCATGCAGGAAAAGTGAGAACCAAAACAAGTAAAAGAAGAGAGGTCCACAGAGAACTTGACATTAAGATCTTGAATTATGAGTAGGTGCTCTGGGAGTACACAACAAGAAAAATAATTATATGGAGGTCCGCAGAGGAAGCTTATCGTTGATTCATGCACCCATGGAAGCATGATCGAGATGGGCCTCATCGGGGAAGCTTATCGTTGATTCATGCACCCATGCACAGAGGGAGGCATATATCCTAATAATCTTATCATCAAATTGGGTGTTGAGTACGAATCAGTTCCTATCTTCATCCCTCTTAGTGATAGCGAGAATTTGATGATCGTGCCAGTGATATCTTCACCAAGTTGATCGTTTATTGATGATCAACAGTCAACAGACTATTCCAAGAAAGAGAAAGGATAAGTATATATGGCCGCCACCAAGTACTACACTGATTCAAGCAACACTGTCTTCTTCATAAGGACTAGTAGTTTAGCACCTCGTTTGCTTTGACACAAGATGGATAAGCTCTTCCGAAGCCTGTTACAGTGACACTTCCATCAATAAAGCTCCAATCTTGTACTGGGACAACTTACATGTCACAAAGAGTACGAAACCCAAAAGGAAACAGCGTGAGCTGTGCCACTACAAACCTTTAAGCCACGTTATTTTGGATGCAGGACAAACACTTCATCCGTAGCTATTATTAGACTAATCTTATCTTTGATGTATGAGACTGATGACCACAGAGACCACTACCGAAACACACGGCAGCAGTAGGTAAGATGAACGCTTAAGCAGCAGCACCTTGGCCGGATCCACGACCGGCGATCGGCAGCAACGTGTTCTTCATAAGCACTGCGGAGAAGCAACGCTTGAGCCCGCCGCCAGCCCTGTGTGGCACCCCGAAGCAGAAAGTTGATGTTAGGGACCCGTCATCGGACTCCTCCCCGTCGCCCCTTGATGAGAAGGACGACCCTGAGATGGAGTGCCGCCTGCGGTGATCGTAGCTGAGAGATGTTGCCGGGGACAACGATGAGGGCGACTTGTGGGACTTCCTCAAGCTGAGCTTGGGGAGTATGATCTGGATCAGATTCGACTTGGGGGACTTCCGACAACTCTTGTTCTTGGTGCTGCAGTAGTAGGAGGGCGGAGGAGTGAGAGGTGGCAGGTTGGTGCTTGAGGCGGTGTGCTTGGGCGTGCCAGGCTGCGACTCCCATAAGAACGGGACTGCGCCGGAGGCCACCCCGTAGTACACCCTAAATGACGGGTGGGTCAAAGAGCCTTCCTTGGACAGCAGCCTGCAGTAGAACTTGTCATCTTGTTTGATCTGGAGAGACGGTCTGGGAAGCTCTGAGCTGCTGGAGAGCATCCTCAGTTGTGTGTGTGTGTGTGTGTGTGTGAGAGAGAGAGAGAGAGAGAGAGAGAGAGAGTGGCGACCAGTGCTTACAGACAAATGAATCGTGGACTTGCTGGGTCTTCAGCTTTGTAGGTCAGAATTAACTAGGTGAGATGCTGATGTATAGAACGTGCACTTGCATATATATGCTTTCTGACTCATAGGAGCATGTCATGCTCAATTAGACTAAAATTTCACCATGACCTTATATCTATAAACATATATATTAATGGATGAATGGCAACTGACACTCTAATCAAGCTTCTGTGAGTGGCAAGCATCAATACTTGGGGCAAACATCGATGTCATGGAGCACAAGGCAGACCATTCATTGTGGTTCTTAGGAGAGAGGCCAGTGGTTTGGATAGAAGGGGTAGGTCGATATGGGGGATGAAATTAATACGTTGGTGGTGAGAGATGGGAAGAGCATTTATTGTAATAGTATGGTCGTGGCTTTGTGATATTGAGCAGTTAATGCACCTACTGAAGGTTGAGCGTAGTTGTAAAGATGATTGTTGTCATATATATATATATATATATATATATATATATATATATATATAGCTGAATACTTGTTCATACAAATGTCCTGAAGTAATTGCACTCATAAAATGAGTAATTCTAAAACTCATGTTTCATATACTAAGCAACTAAAATGACAAAAATGGGAGAATATTTTATGATGACTATATGATAAGAAATATGCTAACAGTTAATCATCATATGATACAATCGTTATATTGAAGCTATCATGAAAAAAAAAAGAATCATGTTACTATCCACCAATCATCTATTCGCATAGACAAAAGTCCAAAGCAAACAATTCTGAGTTGTCTTCCCCCTACTACTCACGCAGACAAAACATCAAGAGGAAGATGTTTGGTCGATTATAAGTTATCCCCTCCAAAACTAAGTATAAAAGCTAATCCTTAGCATAACTTCGGGGGGCTCTTTTTCGAAAAAAATCCACACCCACTAAGAGACCTTAATCACTAACTTAAGTATCGGAATGATCGTGTCGAGAAATTTTTTTCGACATCGATTTTAGTATATGTACTACCTTGGGAGTTGGATATTTTCACATCAGAATCATCTCAAAGCTATCTTGGTCACTACCTCGAATACTCTTATGGTTAACTTAGATATCAACGATAATTTTCTCTAATACTATATAAAGCACAAAAATATTTTCCTCTCTTTATCAATTTCGTTTTATATTGTTTTATTGAGAATGAGGTGGGAAGCTTAGGGCTACATCTACTATATAATTATATATGCCACAGACAATAATCAACAACATAGATTCAAACTATTGGTATAGAAGAACTCCATCCTTCAACAACCACCACATATTACAACAATAAAAAATGCACAATCATTTCGCATTTTTATGGCCTCGAAATCCTAATGAAGTCACTGTGCATATACTACACTAATCACTAATAAATGAAAGGCGAAGATTTGATATGAAGATGATATAAACCCAAGGCAAGATGTATTGTAATACTCGATCGAGAATGCAGAATAATGGGAGACAATGGTGAATTAGTGCGACTAAAACAAGCTCACCAAATTGACTTAATGGCAATTGAGTCAACATTACTTACGAGTCATCCGATGCGGGTTCTTCGGCACCGAAAGATTTGGAGCTCCCTCCTCCATTGTTCTTCTCTCCCGTGCATGGGATACTGCATGTAGATCGCAGCAAAACTGCTTTCATGTTAACTTGTCGGAGTTACAATTAAATACTTCATGTCAGTGCATTTATTTTACAGTAGATGTCGATGGCCGTAGCACGATTTAGTATTGTGGTTGGAATTCCGGCAAGGTTGATGAAATGGTTACTATCTTCTTAGTGTTCTCGAGGTGAAAATTGGCTCACTCTTCAATTACAGTCATTTTACATGAGAGTATTTCACAATATCATATCTCAGTGATTTATGATTTTATTATTATTGCACTAATTTCTATTAAACATTTTTTTTGTTTTTATTGGGATGGATACCGGAGTTATAGGATTTGCATGAAAATGATGTTGAATCAGTTCATGAGAAATATCCATTCATAAGAATATATCTATTTATGATGTATGATATATCATTGTCTCGAGGTATTTATGATTGATTGTCTATTCTCCCTCCATATATAGTCTCTTTGGGTTTATGAGCTCCGATCAATATAAATAAATGATATATTCAACTTGTGATTTATGATGACTTTATGTATAATATAATATATTATACGGTCTAATTGTACGATCTTACTGTCTACACTCTCTTAATATTAGAATATTAAGTTTAAAGTAGAACAACAAGCAAGATCGTCGATATGTCCGAGTGGTTAAGGAGACAGACTTGAAATCTGTTGGGCTCCGCCCGCGCAGGTTCGAACCCTGCTGTCGACGCGCGTTTTTTCTTTTTTATCTTTTGGGCCTTTAAATGGGCCGAAAAAGAGCCCAACTTCTCAAATGATGCACAGCCCAAAGAAGTTTCAAACCTCATCTTTATGCCTACCACGTCCAAGAAGAAGATGTATGCAGACTGACATCTACAACTGGCTACCAGCCGCCACCAATCGTAGAGAGCTCATAAATGGACAGCAACAGCAACAGCAACAGTGTTTACTATACGACTCCTTTGGACGTGCATGCCGCATACATTGATGGCTCCTCCACTCTCATCTCGGACTACCCACCCTCGTCCACGGACATGAAATTAACGCACTGTAGCATTGATGTGTCGTAGCGCTGCTACTGTTCCTCCTCGCGTCGTCTCCTCCCGCTGAAAAGCTGCGAGCATGCCCGTGCACCGCCAACCGAGGGGACTCCGCCGCTACGGCACGTAGAGGCGGTTGCCGCACTTGCACCGCCACGCCTCGGGGTAGTACTCGGAGGTCACCGGTGTCCCGGGTGGGACTGGCACGTGCACCGGCCGGCACGGGGTGCACTTGCCGCACTTTGACGCGCACCGCGGAGGATACGACCCCGGTCCCATCAATCCCCTCCGCTCCCCCTCCTCCTCCGCCGCCGCCGTGCCTACCTCACGTGCTAACCACGGACCCTGCAGGGCACAATCGCTTCAGAAGCAGTGCAGTCGTAGCAGTCGTACTAGTAAACGCTCGAAGACGGAAACCCGCGCATTTTAGCGGACGAGCGCGTGAGTTTTCTAAGTTGCGCCGCCAGTCAAGCTTTGCAGAAGTCGCATCAATCGTGCATCGTAGCGATTGATATCATTTCTCGTCGCTTCACGGCAAGAAGAATCAGAGAAGAAATCGAGTGAGAGAAAGGAAGTGCACCTGCACGAAAGACTTCGTTCTCGCGCTTCCTATCCCTGTAGCAGAGAAATGGAGAGATGGAAATGTTATATGATTGCAACATTGGCCGAGGAAAGAGAAGCGCATGCATACAAACGCAAAGCAGCAAAGCATCTACAAGATTTGACTGGAACTGCAGATGATTACTGCTTAGATCTCCAATGGCACAAAAGAACAGGGTTCTAATCACCTGTTTCCTCGAGAAGAGCAAAGGCCGAGAGGAAAGAGAAAGAAACACAGCACAGAAGCGCCATCCTTGACGCCCATCCTCCTCTCATTTTCCCCATCCTCTTCTGCGAAGAAGGAAGCTCCACACAAGCCGAAACAGCGGGGAGGAACGAGGGAAGCAGAGTGTGTCGCAGACCTCGAAGTACCTCTTTCCACCTCTCTCCCGATTAACCAAGTCTGCCTTCGCTCACCCTTCGTGCTCTAATCCCTGTGGGAACTCACTGTGTTTGTGTTCTCCGAAGCCAAAAGAGAAAGATCACCTGTAGCATTCTCTCGTTTAAAGCTCTTCTTTCCTGCTGCTTTATTCTCCAAAGCTACCAACTCTTTCTCCGCTCTGCCACCTGAGTGCACGCTTCTTGTTATTTATTGACATCGCTCGGTATCAAAGTTAAGCTATAGATCTGCTGATGTGATCTAAGGTACCACTATTTAATCCCAAGTAGCACTTCTGTGAGTCACATGGCAGTGAGGCAAGGTGCAGTTTGGTTGGGTCCAGGTAGGGGAATGCATGCATGCTAAATCATGGTTGCACTTTAACCTATTTGTATAGGTTTCCATGTGATCTAGATTTTTGTTTTAGGGGTGAAAACAGTACAGTAAGAAATTGTGTTGCAAATGCTAACTTGAGGAAATCAGATAATAAGTTGAGCTACAAGAATACAATGTTTTCGAAGTAGTAAAGTTGTTATATCAATGTCTTCCAGCTGTCCTTCACTGCAACCTTAAACCCATATATGATAGTGATGAGATCATGATGAAAGAAAAAGTGTTAATGTAAATGCTGGAATGTAATTGATAGGGGAGGAGAAAGATGGTTGGAAAACATTAGCAGTGAAAACAGGTGAGAATCCAATGGTACAGTTTCTGAGGCCTTACAAAGACCCAAAGAAAAGAAGGAATCTCTGCATCCAATGTTGGTGTCTCATCCACTGTCCTCTACCATAATTGGTCTCCTTGTCTGATGCAGCAACAATTTGCTCTTCTTCCTTCGTGATAAGCTATCATCTTAAACACATCAGCATCTGTGAGGTGTCTGTAAGTCTAATCCACCATCGCTGCTGTCAGGTACTTGTCTTAGGTTTTGGCAAGGTCACTCAGGTGACAGATCTCACCAGGCAAACCGAGAACCGCTTTGGCTTTCAGACAACAGATAAGAGAGTCATGCTAGAGAGAGAGAGAGAGAGAGAGAGAGAGAGAGAGGTTGTCTCTAACAACTGGATCATGTACACGTGATGTCCATTGCCCAACAAGATCATTGATCTTGAGGGTGTCTCAAATGAGAAAGGTTGCATGTTCTTCCTGAATCCCCCTCCAAAGGCGATGTCGACTCCAAAGCTCGAGCTATTAAAGTGAAGAATCCTTTTCAGAACCCATCTCCTTCCATGCAACTCTTCTTAGCCTTTTCTCCTTTAGGTCCAAACAGCCATGTGCCATCCAACTGCAGGAACGAGGACCTCCGTGGCCTGTGCTTGGCTCACACGAACCTGAGCTGTGGGTTTGGTAAACGAAGGACCACAGAGGGAGAATACCATGGCGGCCTTGCGCTTTTGTTCCTTAGCCATGGTTTCCATATTCCCTTGGGCACAGTGGTCTGATCTCTGCATGCAATTTACTACTCAAATGTAGCAACCCAACAACTCCATGCGCACTCTTTTGCATGCCTTGTGAGCCTGACACCGTTGCCATAGTTGGGTGGGCTGAGTTCAGTTCAGAAGCCAGTGACAAAGGTGACTTGAAGGCTTCGTCTCAATTAGAGCGATGGAAATCTGGATAGCTAAACATGCTGCTTCCCTCCCATGCCCATTGCTAGCCACAAGCACATTTTGGAGTGCTAACATTAATTGGACCTCCGCAGACTTGACCAACAAGAAATTTACCTTGGTGTTCTTGGTGCAGCAAAAACAGTGGGGAGAGTACCTGCTCCATAAGATTGAGCTTGTGATATGAAATATATCAGAAGTTAGACATGTCTATACTCCAACAACGTTAGCACATGATTAGGGTCAAAGCTTTAGCCACTGTCTCGATCACCTACTTAGGGCTCAGAAACAAGGATTGGAGGATAAGGAAGAGCCCTGTTGTGCCCATTTGACAGGATGGACTAAAGAGGACATTAACCAAGAAGGAAACTATTAGAATGTACCCAACAATGGGGGAATGCACATTTCCAACATTACGCTTGATTGTCTTCTTTACTGGATCCGGTTTGTGTTCTTATGTGTACAGAAGAACTCAGCCCGAAAGAGGAGGAGAGTCTCCATCATCTTCCAGCTCACAACACTGTGGTGGCCTGCATGTTTTGATGGTACGCATGATATATTGTATCAGGTCTACAGATATGTTGCTACCAGCAGAGGCTAATTAGTTTACAGTCCGTGCAGTTCAGTGCAACACCCACTATGTTTCAGATTAGTGTTGACAGAAGAACTTATCCTCCGAGCTGATGGTTCAAAACTAGAATCACTGTGGACAAAGTATGAATGAACTATATGTATTAACTATATATGCATTCTTTGTTTCCTATTTACCTTAATATACATCTACGATATATGTTGTTGTTTGGGAATAGAAAAGTTAAATGAAGTTTTGGATGTACCTCTTAGGATTGAAACTTGTGTCCTGGGAGTATGCATGCAACGTACGTAAGTGTTGCAAGGGATCCAAATTCCTGCCTTCCCTTTGGTTGTGGCGGCATGAAGCCATTGGCTTGAGAGTGCCACGGAGGAGTTGACTTGGATAGCTCGGTCAGTATCACCAGGTTAATCTCTGTAGGAATTGTGGTTCTACAAATAGATCTGTGTGCATGTCAATCAAGCAGAAATGACCTTTTTAGTCTGCGTTAGTGTTGCCTTTCCTGTGAAGCGAAGGAGACTTGGTGGAACATCCTGAACTGAACAGAATCGATTACCCAAGCTTGGCCAGAATGATTGCAGTATGGATGTTGGACCAACTTCCATGAGCTGAAACCAAGTCTCTCAGATGTTGAAGCAGTGACCAGGAACTATCCTAAACCAATCTAAAGCAATTGTCATATGATAACTGAAGGAAAGGGAAGAAACCATGCTAAAGAAACATAAAGCTTGAATATACACCCAACCTACAAGATGCTGTCTGTGTCAGGAGCTGAAGATGAATTCACTTAGTAGCTTCCGGGAGGGACTGCAGCCATGACACAGGTTCATTGATTGTCGGTCACAAAACCAATTAGTAGATATTGATAAAATGATTGAATGAAGAGTGAAATTATAAAAGTAAAGAGAACGCACACCTCAATTAGTATCATATAATGTCTATTTATATATAGTGAGGATTTTTCTCAATTGAGCCAAGATTTCCTAATGCAGTTGAGAAAATCTCATCTGCTATGCAGTTGAGGAAATCTCTCATCTGCTATGCAATTGAGGAAATCTCTCTATTATCATGTCCTCATAAGATCGAGTTTCTGTCAAAGATACCGATCTTGGATCGATGCAACAAATATAGTTTGCGGGCTAGAGGCTTCGTAAGTGAGTCTGCTAGTTGATCAGCCATATGAATATAAGAAACATGAAGTTGACATTTGACAACTTGATCTCGCACGAAGTGAAAGTCGATGGCAATGTATTTCATGCGTGAGTGGAACACTAGATTGACGTATAGGTCGGTAGCTCCAACATTATCACAATATATTGTAGGAGTAAGGGTAGAGCTGACTTTGAGTTCCTTGAGAAGATTTGTAACCCAATTGAGTTCAGCAAAGTGGTAGTGATGGCACAATATTAAGCTTCAGTTGTAGACCAGGTGACTACCTTTTGCTTCTTAGAACTCCAATTGATTGGATTAGACCCAAGAAAAATGACATACCCTGAGGTGCAGGTGTGATCATCAAAGTTTCTCGCCCAACCAACATCAGCAAAGGCATGGAGATGAAGTCGAGTGTGTTTGCGGAGAAAGAGACTATGATTGAGGGTCCCTTTAAGATATCGTAAAATTCATTTAACCGCAGACCAATGCATAGCAGAAGGATGGTGCATGTATTGATATAGTTTATTGACTGCAAATGAGATATCTGGATGGGTGAGAGCCAAGTACTGTAAGGAACCAAGTACTTTGCGGTATTGAGTTGAGTCTGTAGGAGTGCTGCCATCATATATTTTGAGTGATGCACTAGTAGAGAGAGGAGTTGCAACCTCCTTTGCATCCTGCATATTGGTCTTTGATAATAAGTCTTGAAAATACTTTCTTTGAGATAGGAAGAGACCTGAGGATGTAAATGTTACTTCCATTCCAAAAAAGTAGCTTAGGGGTCCTAAATCTTTGAGGGAGAATCGATCAACCAATTACTTTAAAAATATCTGAATCTCTAAGGTATCATTGCCTATGACAATAATATCATCTATATACACTATAAGATATATTGTATTTTCATTTTATTGTCATAAGAATAAAGAAGTATCAGACATGGAGTTGATGAAGTCAATTGATATAAGAAACGATCTAAGTTCAGTATACCAAGCTCTTGGAGCCTAACGAAGTCCATAAATAGCTTTTTGTAGTTTGCAGACATGTCGCGGATACTGGTGATAAACAAAGCCAGGGGGTTGCTGCATAAAGACATATTCAGTTAGAGTCTCCTGTAAAAGTGCATTATTAATGTCCAATTGGCGTAAGTGACAGCCCCTGGAGATGACCAAACTTAGAATAAACTAAATTGTTATAGGTTTAACTATGGGGCTGAAAGTCTTTGTAAAGTCAACTCTAGGTTGTTGATGAAACCCTTTGACAAATAAACGAGCTTTGTATCTAGCAACGGATCCATCTGGGTTCTGCTTAATTCGAAAGACTCATTTACACTCGATGATGTTTTGTGTAGGATGAAATGGCACAAGAATCCATGTAGAGTTATGGAGTAGGGCATCATATTCTTCACACATGGCTTTACGCTAGTGTGGAGATTTTTGGGCTTGAGTGATTGTGGTAGGTTCACTGGTCTCAAGAGAGGATTGTATGAGAGCATGTAGGTCGAGAACCTAATATGGTTTAAAGATATAACTTTTTGAGCGAGTTGTCATTGGATGTCTAGGAGCTGTAGGTTGTGGTATTAGTATGGGTGGTGGAGAGGCATGGACATTGGTTGGGTTAGGCTGACATACATCAATGACACTAGGTAAAAAAGGTTGTTATGTTTATGAGGATATAACACTAGTAGTGGGTGATATTTGTGAAGAAGGAAGAGGAGAAGTAATCGAGGGAGTGAGGAGCTATTGAACCGGGAGAACAAAAGAGTGTGGATCTGGAGGAAAGGGACTAGATGGTGTGGTGAGAGGTTCATTTGAGGGGATCAATGATATACTTCAGTGACATATATTTGTTAGAGTAGCTTGCATAGTAGGAGACTCATGATTTTGAAATGGAAAG